GAGACCACCTCACACAGTACCCCCAGCTTCACCTCTTCAATCCCCACCACACAGACCACCTCACACAGAACTCCCAGCTTCACCTCTTCATTCCCCACCATGGAGACTACCTCACACACTACTCCCAGTTTCACCTCTTCAATCTTCACCACTGTGACCATCTCACACAGTCCTCCCAGCTCTACCTCTTCAATAGCCACCACTGAGACCATCTCACACAGTACTCCCAGCTTCACCTCTTCAATCTTCACCACAGAGTCAACCTCAAACAGTACTCGCAACTTCACGTCTTCAATCCCTACCACAGAGACCACCTTACTGAGTACTCCCAGCTTCACGTCTACAACCTTCACCACCGAGACCACTTTACACACTACTTCCAGCTTCACCTTATCAACAGCTACCACTGAGACCACCTCATACAGTACTCCCAGCGTTACCTCTTCAATCCCGACCACCAAGACCACCTCACACAGTACTCCCAGCTTCACCTCTTCCATCCGTACCACTGAGACCACCTCACGTAGTACTCCCAGCTTCACCTCTTCAATCCCCACCTCCGAGATGACCTCAAACACTACTTCCACCTTCACCTCTTTAATACCCACAGCCAAGATCACCTCACACAGTACTCCCAACTTCATGTCTTCAAACCCCACAACCGAGACCACCTCATATAGTACTCCCAGCTTCACCTCTTCAATCCGAACAACTGAGACCACCCCACACAGTTCTCCGATCTTCACCTTGTCAATCCCCACAACTGAGACCACATCACAAAGTACTCCCAGCTTCACCTCTTCAATCCCCACCACCGAGACAACCTCACACACTACTCCTGGCTTCACCTCTTCAATCTTCACCACTGAGACCACCTCACACAGTACTCCCAGCTTCACCTCTTCAATAGCCACCACTGAGACCACCTCACACAGTACTATCAGCTTCACCTCTTCAATCTTCACAACCGAGACCACCTTACACACTACCTCCAGCTTCAGTGCTTCAATCCCCACAACTGAGACAATCTCAGAAAGTACTCCCAGCTTCACCTCTTTGAAACCCACCACGGAGACCATCCCACACACTACTCTCAGTGTCACCTCTTCAATCCCCACGACCAAGACAACCTCACACACTACTTCCAGCTTCATTTCTCCAATCCCCACTGTAAAGACCACCTCAAACACTACTCCTAGCTTCACCTCTCCAATTTTCACCTCCAGGAGAACCTCACACAGTACTCCCAGCTTTACCTTTTCAATCCACAGCACTGGGACCACCTCATACAGTACTCCCAACTTCACTTCTTCAATTCCTACAACCGAGGCCACCTCAGGAAGTACTCTCAGCTTTACCTCTTCAATCCCAACCACAGAGATCACCTTTCACACTACTTCCAGCTTCACTTCTTCAATACCCACCACCGAGACCACCTCACACAGTACCCCCAGCTTCACCTCTTCAAT